TAAAAGAGTCAAACTCCCGGCCAAGTCAACTTTAGAAAAAGTCGACCTCCTTTGCCGAAGCCAACCGCACTCATGCATGCTCAGATTGTCTGACCTTGACGGAGTTGACCTGATTGGGCGCAATCTCGTACCCAAAGTCCTCTACTGGCTTTTTGGTAGACAAGTTCGCCCAAGATCCCATTATGGCTCTTGGTTCGCCAGGCTAGAAGGGTGAACCTATACCATCATGAAAGGGTGACCCTGCTAGGTGGGTCACGCTCCTAGCCGAGCTAAATTTTTTGTCTCTTATGTAAATGGTTCGCTACGGTTGGCTTGCCCAGGGTAGCTCGGGTAAGCGGGTGATCTTCCCGAGACCCGGGACAATTTTTTTTCATATAAAGGAGCGCGCCGCGGTGAAAGCAACCGCCTCGCGCCATTGTGCCTGGGTTCAAATTTCGCAACCAAACTGAGTTTAATACGTTTGTCGATGCCAGTTTCTCGTTGTTGCTTCCCTGATAGGTGCTCCCTTCTCTTCTTAAATTGAAGCGTTTCCAAATTTCACGAACACGAGTAACCAAGTTCTTAGGAGCTCTTCCATTGCTAGTTGGAGAGGTTTTTCCATTGCTATCTCAGTAATCACATGCCAAAACATAGCAACGGGAAGAAATGGCTTGGCAATGAATCAGCGTGCGCATGAATGTGGTTAAAAATTAAGGCCAAATTTCTCCTGCCAGTTACACCAGGGGCAAATCCTCATTATTGGGGCAAGGATCAGACTGTCCCGTTTATGGGTGTGAATTGTAGATTTCGGTGTGAAGAAGAAAGAAAGCAGAAGAAAATCAGAATTTTGGCTGTCCGTCAGGTAGAAGCCACGCCCCAAATGCCCCTAAAACAGCGGGGGTTCAACTTTCCTTCGCAGCGGTATTATTTCATGTTTTTTGTTCTTTTGTTTTACGCCATTTGTGTCCGGTACACAAAGCTCAGCGGGAGCCAAAGAAGGCATATATTTCTCGTTGCATGTGTAAGTCTAAGTAAAGGCTAACCGTTTTAAAGTTTCATCGTATCAATTAAAAGACGATTAGGTTCTGATAGATTATGCTCGCAAAAGTAGCATTATAATAGGACATTTCAGAGTTTCCCCGGGCCTCTGTATCAAAACGAGGTTAAGTGCTCAGTTTTAGATATGGAAATGATTTTTTATTCTCCTGCAAATAAAACTCATTTTCACAAGGAAGGTTGTGAACTTACACAGTACACAGCACTTGCACAGTTGTGCACAGGGTTTTTGGAACTCGGAAGTGGCCTATCATGCTTCTTCTATCAGTGCTCATATATTTCTAAAAATAATTAATTATGCCAATAGTTATGCGCATACATAGAGTGGAATCCAGGTCCCACGAATGCGACAACAAGCAGACGAAAATTGATTTTGTTTCTTAAATTTGTCCGTAACACTTATAATTATTTCGGGCCAAAAAAAAAATGGTTGCATGCTCACTAAAAGACAATTTTGGGCTGCAAAATTAGCCAAAAGTGCAAATTATGCTTGTAGTGCTTTTTTCGGGAAATATATGAAAAACTACTCTCGTAATGACGAATTATGCCAAAAATTATGCTTGCACAATCTTTCAAAGCCTATAGACGATGACCCATGATCTTCACGCAATACGAAAAATTTTGTTATGCCCCTTGACAAGTACAAATCTGGGCGTAACTCAATGGGCTTTATGGCTCCTTTAGGACCCATTTTTCAACACAGTACGGACAGAAAATGTTTTTTACTAGATACAGTCGATACAGGTATTTCTGAGATTTATTCACGCCTTTATGGGTAAAAGGAAATGCTTGCTTTCTGTCCCGACCCCGACCAAAACGTCTAGAAGTGACACCAAAATCGGCAATTTATACCCGTAAGCGAGACGAAGAACATCCCAGTCACTTTTATATGGGAGTTCCCCCTGAAAACATGTCAACTGACCTCAAGCGCGAATAGACTGGCGTGTGCGCAATTCAAGATTACTCTTATCATAAAGACTTCAATGTCAACATCAGCAGTGAAAAGCTGATGCTTTATTAGCTGTTGCTTTTTGTATTTTACTGTTAAGAATTTTGAATTCTTTATAGTTCCAGACCACTTGTAAATTTTGTAAAACTACGATTGTAGTCTTGTTATAATCTGTAACGGTCACACGGGATCCGCTCCTGCGGTCACTCTAGATGACTTTTGAAAATGTATGATACTGCTTTCGAAAATGTGATTGAAAACTTCTCTTACACTGGAAAACTACTATCATCTGTCACCATATATGGCTCCAACTAAAGATTTCCTCATATCTCCCTACTGCTTACTCAATTTCTCTTCGTTTTGCTCCTTGGGTGGGTCTGATTGGGTAGAGGTACGCGCCGCCCTGTTGTAGCTCAAGTTCTCCTTCCCGGGCTCAAATGCCAAGAGAAAAATTAGAATTCAAGGAATAATTTTTGCGTTTTCGTGGATTTTATCTTCAGATCAATGACATTCCCAAAGGATTCCCTCAATTCCGGCCGTCCTGTCCACATTAATTGTTACAATTTCCCAAAATGCATGTTCTCCCATGATGCTTTGCAACATCTTATTCATTCCTTTCCTCTCTCAAGCAGGAGCTGACGTTTCTTCTCGAAGGTAGGTGGCAAAAATCTTCCTCCATCGCTGTTGTTAAGTTCTTAACCAAGTACGTAGTATTTTTAAGAGTTACATCAGCTACTGTTTCATTCGATTCGTTGGTTATTTCGGGAATAGCAGCCAAGGTTTCCTGCGATTTATTGATGTGTTGTGGCCCTTGTTGCAGATGACGCCTGCCGTAGAAAACCCACCGGCTGAAGAAGAGGCTAATGCCGAAGGTAAGAAAAATATTCCGAGCTTGAAAATAGGATTATTTAAAATTTCAACGTTATTACTTACGTTTATGTACAAATTTTGGCCTGAAACGCCGAAGAGTTAAAGATTTTACCCAGTTTATAAGTTATTTTCGACAGTGACGCAATCTTGCCTTTCCGATGTCGAGAAAAAATGAATTTGGTTTCACGGACAGTGAAGGGTTTTTGCTTTGCATTTTCAGTAAAAACGTAAAAAAAGTCCTTTTGTTTTGCTGAAAGCGTTTTATTTTATTGGCCTGGAAGGTCTTGCTGACATACTTTCCTGTCGTCGTCCTGAGCACTTGGATTGCACGTGCAAAACAATTTTTACCACCATGTGTGTTCCATTCTTTTGCAAAAATAACATCAGTAGGATTGCGTGTACTCCCTTTATATAAATCAGCAGAAACGGTTTTTGACGATTCTGTGTTCTCTTTTTGGTTTTTTGTCTTCTCAATGACAGCAAAGCAACATTTGCAACTTTGTTGACTTCAAGAGGAGCTTTCAGCAGTCATGTTTCTTTAGGGCCCATGAAAGAGTTAACTTTAATCTTTATTGTAAGGTGATCTGTTCCTCCGTTTCGTGTTTCTGCTCTTACTTTTTCCATAAATTTAAAGGAACAGTATCCCGTTACTGCGGATGCACCAAACTTTGATTTTTGGACAGGATGTCGCGAAATCAAAAGATGCGAGGAGGGTAAGAGAATCTTGAAAAATCCGTTTGCATTGCGCTTGGCCGGGTTCAATACGACACTAAAACTTCTCAGGATTATAGATCAATGATATATTGTTCCTGTTAAGTTTCGATTTGGGCGAAATCTGAAATTTTTTGGCGTTACTTTTATTACCGTTGGCCGGAGGACCAAAAGATTGGAAGCACTTTGATGCCGATTGAAGGCTTATTTCTTCTGCTAGCTTCCATACAAGCTCAGATAATTGTGAAAGAAATACGCAGAAATGAAACAGCAAAAATAAAGACTGTAAGAAAGAAACCGTTGAGACATTGATGTCACTGAGGAGATCTTGTGGAGGGGAGCTTCATGAAGCAGAATGTTTTGCAATGACGCGTTAGTAAACTGAATCTCCCTAAGGCCGACAAAATTAAACAAACAGGTGCTACATGTTTTGAAAAACTAGTGACATGAAATCATAATATCATTTTTGACTTACCTTTGTGATGATTCATAGTGTTGAGATTGCATTTTTATTTATGTCTTTCAAACATTGGAGGCTAGAACGTGAGCAAATCAGGCAGATATTACTGGACTTGGAGCGATTGACCTCTGACACGAGTTTCAAATTAGAAAATGTTTTTAAAGCGAGCGGAACGAGATTTTCGGGTCGCGAGGCAGCCCAGCTAGCGATAAAATCGCGATGAGTCTTCGAACCGCGAGCCAAATTTTTATATAAGACGAAAGACTTCTTCGAAAGTCTAAAATATTACTTGAGAATATAAACAACAAATCTCTGTCAGCAGTGCGGTCCGGAAGGAAATCTTGTGGAGTCAATTTGACAGTTCTTTTGTCTTTTGAAGAGAAAACAGATGACGCTCGCGCGTGCGCATAATCAGGACACTGTCCCTTTAACCAATTTAGCCACATGCAGTGGCACCCTTGTATGCTGATGTCTGAGCTTACTACCCTATTTTCTTGCAAAAGGAGGGAGACATTGTGGGTGCCCAATACCACAGTACCGTACGCAGGGTTCGCACACACCTTGAAAGTCCTTGAATTTTAAAATTAAAAATTCAAGGCCTTGAAAGTCCTTGAAAATTGCAGTTGGTGCTGGAAAGTCCTTGAATTCCAATGCTAAGTAAACTTTATAGTTTAAGTAGAACTCCAAAGAGAAAGGAGCAAACACTGAAAGACCTTCGGGATAAAATTACTCATGTCGTGAAAGAACTAACGTAGACATAGACTCAAGGCTCTTTTTTGCACTGAATGGAGTCCTTGAAAAATGGAAAATGTGTCCTTGAATTTTTTTGTTCAGAAAAGGGTATGAACCCTGCTTACAAAAAAATTGGCAATACCGCATTTATGATCGGTCACACTTACTTAAAGTTGTATCTGTCTTGCATGTTTGTATTTTACATGAAGCATGTTTGCAGTGGAAATCAACGTTAGCTATCGCGAGAAAACGTTAGAAGACCTCACATTTATCAGTACATGGACCAAAAAGCCTGGTCATTGCATGTATCAAAAATTCCACTGTAGATTAACTGTCAGAAATTGTGTAATAGTTTGCCATGATGTCTAAAGACTTAAAAATATTATTTTTGTTAACCAGTATAGCTTACTTTGTTTTGTTGTGTATTGTAGGGGTGTAACGATTCATATTCCTTGCGATTCGATTCGATTTGGATTACTACCTTTCGATTTTCGATTATTTTGATTCGATTATGTAAATTTTCTTAATTCTTATAACATAACGCACAATGGTAACAACATGCAACCCTAAAACCTCAATTTGAGAATAGTAACAGGGACAGGAGGATTCACAGTCGCTTGGTTCGCCACCATGTTTGAGAACCTGACAAAGAGCGTGTCGCACATGGTTTGCCTTATTTGGAGATTCTCAAGGGGTGGTTGAAGGACAGCATTTTTACCTGGCAACAAAAAATGGTGCGTGAACTGCTATCGTCTTTGCTCATCAACCAAAAACGCACATTTTAAATTTAAAGAGTTCCGGATTCTGATTTTACAATATAATAACTCACTGAGAGCACCCTGGGAAAGGTGTGCAAAAATCGAACCAAAATTGAAATGTGGAAGCAAAGAATTGTGAATCGAACCGAACAGTCATAATCGGGATTAATCGAGAATTCAATTAATCGTTACACCACTAGTTTATTGCATTGACCTGTATTAACCGGCAGGGTGCAAGTGAACAACACAACAATAATGTGAGGGATCATCTTTTACTGAATACCATCATCCAAAGCATGTTAAACTCATGGACAAGATCAGCTTGAGAGCAGGTGCCTTAAATGAGGAAGGGCCTGTAGTGCAAGAGGGGAGCATTACCTTGGAGGTAACCATGGCAACAAAGCGAGAGTCAACCATCTGCCCCTGTCACACTGAAAGAGTTCAGTGGAATACTTACCACAACCCATACTTACCTATCCGGGGGGAGGAGGGGAGAAATGGGAGCAAAACCAGCCGATGGCACAGCCCGTGCATAGCAATGATCTGCAAAGATCAGAAAAGCAAAGTAAAGCAGAGCTGAGATCAGTGTGAAAGGAAAGTACTGTCCGATAGCCCGGGGCTAGTGGATTTTGCTATCGGGCTAGTGAATTGTGTTTTTAACTTGCGCGACGGGCAAGTGATGTTTTATGAGGAATTTGAATAACAGAAGAACAAAAAGTTTTTGGGGCTAGTTGCAATGATGTCTGGGCTAGTAAATTCTAGCTTCAGCTTGCCCGAATGGCAAGCTGTAAAAACAATTTTCTTTGCACCCTGTGAGATATGTAATCACATGTCAGCCCCTGCAGACCAAGTGGCCACCCTGCATAAACCTGCTTGCCTGGGGCTCAACCGCTGACCCGGTGGCATTGTCTCAAGGTTAACCTTGCCTAAATTACAATTTAGCCACATAAAAACCACATACTGCAGGGCCAGGCAATACTGCAATACTGCACAGTAAAATTAAAATTACGATAATACATCGAAAAAAGCCCAATACCATAAACCCCAATGTCCCCCCTCAATAAGTGCCTGGGCACTTATTTAAAATTATGGCTAAAAGGAGGGGCTCTTATTAGAAGGAGAAATCATGTGTATTGTTTAATACTGATCCAATTCTACCTTGCTACACTGTATTTACTATGTCAATGCTGTGAGCTTCAGCTGGCGATATCGATGTACTGGGAAACGGTTATAGATTACCTTATTCTCGCTTCTCACTAGTATGAAATTTTGCTTTTTTGGCGATTTGGGGAAAATCTTAAATTTGATACTCGCGAAATCTTAAAATCCCCTAAAATCTGTAGAATTACTCTAAAACTCCCTAAAAATCCCTAGAAATGGCGAAATTAAATACTTGTAAATTATGGCTCATGATTTTTCGCGAAATTTGATAGAAGGAGGGCGTTTAATAACCTGCATGGCAGATGCAAAAAGGGAAGCAAAATGGGGAGAAAGGGAAAAAGGGAAGGGAGTGCCTGTTATAAGAGCCCGTGTTTTTGTATTGCTCCTACCAACTCCCTAACTAATCCGATAACAACTGACAACACATGGCCAATCACAGTTAAGTAGGAGGCACTTCTCAGCATGCATGGTCCAAACTTACTGACTTCGTTTACCAGAAATTATCAAGTTAAGATGCTTTTTTGAAATGATACCATAATTGTGCAAAATAAAACATTTTTACTGTTCTTGCTCAACAAACACAACAAGATCAGTTTGGTGTGAATCCTGAAAAACCCTTTGGTCTTGCGTCAAAAAATTCATTGGTGCAAGGTACAGAACACTCGCCACCCTGAAATGCAAATAATTTTGGAAAGGGGAATTATATACATTTGTGTAAAAGCTCAATAGATAATTTTTACTAAAGCTTAAGCTCTTTCTTTACAACCATTTCGAAGTTCATTCAAGGCTCTGTATGATTTGCAGAGAAGTTGGATGTCCAGCTTCTAAAATTTGTGCTCTTGCCTGTGAATATCAGCGTTGCAGATGACAAGAATCACTAAATTGCTGCTCGGTGTTTGGACATATCCAATATACAAAACCTCCAGAGCATCCACTGTCCGCTAAACAAGCTAGGTATTCCCCCAACTTAAATTTTTGTTTTCAATATATGGATCTGTGTTAATTCTAATGTTGTTTCAGGAACAGAGAGTGACAGTGATGATGAACTGCCAGAGCTTGAAGAAGGGGATGCTGGACAGCCCAATATAACAAGTGATATAGCAGCTGCTGCTGGATTGACCGAAGAACCAGTTAGCAAAGCTAAACAAAGCCGAAGTGAGAAAAAAGCTCGCAAGGCTATGTCAAAGCTAGGACTCAAAAGTGTGTCAGGAGTTAAAAGGGTAGCAATAAGAAAATCCAAGAATATATTGTTTGTTATCAGTAAACCTGATGTATACAGAAGTCCAGGATCTGACACCTACATTGTGTTTGGAGAGGCAAAGGTATGTACCAATACTGTATGAATATTACTGTTCTGTTTACATCCAAGAATTTTGTTTCTCAAAACCCTAGAGTAGTAACATCACTTTAAGCTCAATCATTACAAAAGGCCTCCTTGCCTTGAATGAGAGTCGTATAACTAACTCTCAAACAAAAACCAAGATTTCAAGTTATGAGAATTAGTTTTGTGCCCGATGACGATAAAGATGCCTTATGGTGAGGAATGTCTACCTGGCTTGGAAGCCTGCTATCCATTGTTTGTGCCTGTTGTTGTTTTTTGTAAACATGTGTCTTGCATACAAATCTACATTTCTGTGCTTCATGTTGTAACTTCCATACGTGGTGGACAGGCCAGGTCAGAAGTGGTCCTTTGATCTAAAGATTATGAGAGCTGAGGGCACTGTTCTTTTTCTTTAGTAGGAAGGTAGATGGTAGATTGTAGGGTAAAGGGAGGTAGTTGTCACAAGATTATTGTGAACAAACCTAAAAGGGTATTTTCAGTGAAGAAAACGTCATTTGTTGACGTTTTTTTTTAATTTTATCAAATAATGTATTTTCAATATTGTTTAATTTCTTCATAATGCAGATTGAAGATCTAAGCCAGCAAGCACAAGTGGAGGTAAGCCTTGAAATGTACTGGTCTTTTGTTTGACATTTTGTGTGTTTCAAGTATATAATATTTTTTTTCGCTATATTTGTGACGCTTGTGTGCCATGTACATGTAGTAGCATTCTAAAATCTGGAATTTTCCTCTGAGTGCATGTCAGCTATTCATGACAACAGCTCCTGATCCTGCACAAAATGAGCTTTCCTTTCTGTTTTACTATGTCTAGGCTGCTGAAAAATTCAAGGCCCCTCAACCTGCCCCTGTTGTGTCTGAAGCTAAGGCTGCTGCCATTGAACAGGAAGAAGAATCTGATGAAGAAGAGGTAACTGAAATCTTCTGCTTGAAAAAAATGTTGTTTTTAAGATTTGAGGCCTGTACTTTCTACATATAAAACTCAGTTTTTCCCATTGCTCTCGGGTTAATATTTAACCCTTTCACTTCCAGAGTGATTGACAGAGTCTTCTTGTAAGATAGTTTTAACTTTTGAATATGTGGATCAAATCTTATAGTATTACTATTCAAATAAATTCTTTTCAGCACTGCAGTATTTTCTCCTGGTACTATTTGGTTATATTTTGGAATTTTACAAAACAAAAGTAATAAAATTTTACAGAACTTTGGTGACTTCTGGAAATGAGGGGGTCAATCGTTTGACTTTCAGCTATTAAAGTTATCAGCCCCCAAAATCTATTTGTCTTTCTATCTTATGTCCCTTTAACGTTATTTTTTTATGTGACAATACAATGTATTTTGTAGGTTAATGCAACTGGGGTGGAAGAAAAAGATATTGAACTTGTTGTACAACAGGCAAATGTCTCGAGATCAAAGGTCAGTTTAATAGATTACTCTTCATTAATGTTATTGAATTTATGTTTACTCTCCAAGGATTACTTAAGGCAAAGAAAACAGTGAAATCAAAAGCCCATATTGCAACATCCGTAGTTTTGCTGTTGACTCAAAAAAGAAACCGTGCATAGCATGTCAAAAATGTTTTGGTCAGTTTAAGTGCCACTTTAGTGCAGAGAGAAGGCAAAACCAGAGGGGGGGAAAGTCAGATGTCCCTGAGACCAATAAAATTATCTAAAAAGGTGCAACTTAAAATCTATTGACTACAACCTTTGTTCCGTCATCTTTTTCCTTATTCATTCAAAATATACTTGTGTTCCCATTATTTCATTAAATTTAGTGTTGATAAAGTCATTTTTTGTTTCTTACAGGCCATTAAAGCTCTCAAAAACAATGATAACGATATTGTCAATGCTATAATGGTAAGGCTCCTTGCTATCTGAATTTTTAAAATTTTTTTTTTACTGCAAGGTTTTGTTGCATGTGTGCATTTCATAATGGATGAGAGGGCTGTCGTTAGTAGCCAGCAGCTGGCTTTGTTTGCCAGTTTGTTGTACAGAAGGGTGACCACATAATGGTGGTTCAAGTGTGATACCCTTTGAGCCAAAGAGGTTTCATAGTTGTCAAATTGGAAGATTTTCAGAGTTCAGTGTTTTCTTCTTTCCTGTAATGGGAAGTGTTCTTAACCCTTTAAACACCAATATAAGCATACAAATTCTCCTGACTCATCTCTGTTCATTTTCTTGCAGAATTAAGCCCGGTTCACGCGTCAAATTTCACATGTGCCACACATGTGAAGTGCGACGTTTAAATCAATAAAATTTGTACAGTTTAGATTAAATGGAATGTTTGCCGTATCTGTGACTGAAACAGTTGAAGATTCAACTTAGGTTCAACTTTTGATTCAAACTTCTCATTTCACATGTGCTGAGCTTAATGCATGAGTTTAGTCAATTATTATTACATTACTGGGAATATTGACCGCGAACAGAGTTAAACTCGACAAAGTTCAGAAAGTTAAATTCCACGTTTAAATCAAATGTCATATTTAACTATTTTAGTCGACTAAAATAGGAGTTAAATTCAGCACATGTAAAATTTGACGTTTGAAATGGGCTTTAGTTGGGAGAATTTGATAAAAGATCAGGGCATTTTCCCTTTGGTGATCGTTTTATTAATTCTCATAACATTTTCTTTTTATTATGTATTGATAACATTAGGAGAAAATTGATGTTTGTCACTCTTGAGACTTAAAGTTAATGTGTATGTCTTTACTTTCTTTTTTAGGAGCTGACAATGTAAATTAACGATGCCACAACAACTTTTTAGATATTATATACCTCTGGTCTGTACAGGATTTCAAGTTTAACTATGTTTTCTGCTTGCCAAAAATATGTGGGAATAAAGTTGCCGTCTGGAAAAATGGAAATAATTATTTGTCCCTAAGTGTTTTGTTGTTTCAAGACTACTGTTCTTTCTAGCAAAAGTGTTTAATTCATTAGGAGAAGTAAAATTCATTGGTTTCAAAATAATTTTGAAACCAGTGAGTTGTACATTCAGAGCATTTAATGTTCTGAATGTAACATGTGGAAGACTAAACTTAGGGGAAGTAAGGGCACTTAATAAACGTTGTCAGAATAGATTCAGAAAAGATACCGGTACATGGAAACGTCGATATAGCAAACAACCAAGGCACACTTTAATCCCCCACCCACCCCCCCTGCTGTGTCTTGCAGGAACCTTATTCTTTTTCAGACGTGAAGCAATGTGGAGGTGAAACACTGCCAGTGATAATTTCATAACTTGCAACACTTTTATGGGACCTTACATCATTTTCGTGACTTATAGCCATCCATTTTACTGTCAAAACAGTTCTTAAGCTATGTGCAAACAGACGCAACATTGTTGGATGTTACATGTTGTATCCATTTGCACACCTTGTTGCATGTTGTTGGGAGTTGTGCGAAGTTTGAAACAGGTCAAACTTTTAGCTACGTGCAAACAGACACAACATTGAGAGTTGTCGGCCAACTATGTTGCATCCATTTGCACAGGGCTTTACGCAATGAATTTTAAGAGTGGAGAAAAAAGCTGAGTACAATTTCACCTCATTACAATAATATTATTTATTCCACGCTTTACAAAACAATGCTCAGGAGATATCTTGTGTCTGACCCCACCCTGTCATTAAAGTCTTTCTTTTGCTTGCTTGATTTTGGCGTAATCAAGAAAGACTGCATGTATTGATTAAGATCTTTGTTTACACTTTGTGCCTCATTCATATGCTTATCACTATCTGATGACGCTAATAAAATAAAAACTCTGAATATTGAAAGGGCACAACAGTTTCAGTTACCTCTGAAAATTTGAGCCCGATACACCAGATGGTTTCGGAGAAATTCTCTTCTAAAAACTCGAAATTTTACAGAGAATGTTTGACTCGTTAACATTTTTGCCACACAGCAATTTCGCAGTCTTTGATGGCTGATATTTCCTTCAATATTGCTTGCAAAGAGCTGAAAATTGCACAATTCCTCAACTCAATCAGCTCTTTCAATTTTTGCGTTTAGTTCATATCTACGACTCTCTTGTATGAGTTGAGTCGTATGCTAATGAGGAAAAATGTAAACAATGACGTCAGAAGAGATTTGCCTATTGATTAAGGTCTTTGTTGAGCATGCAGAGGTTTGGACTGCTGTGTCTTCAAAGGCTTGACAAGATTCAGGCAGAGCCTGCTTTTCTCTTGCTCCTCCAAGAAGACAAAAGGAGTCTCTGCTAACAGGGTGGTCTGACCCCAGCCCCAATATTATAATTATCCGTTTTCAGCTTAGGTCCTGTGTAAATGTCATACTTCATTAATTGCAGTTTGAGTCAACCATAATTATTATGTACGGCTGCTGAGTTTAACTCTTACCTGGTCTTCATGCTGACTCCAGCCATGAAGAAAGTCTTGGCCGATCCAAATGAAATCGATTAGCCAAACTAAGTGGGCTTCACACTAACCAGACTTGATCAAGTTGGGCCAATGTGAAGTAATGGCTACGCGTTTCACCCGGGCCTAAAACCCGGAAGGGAGCGGGGAGCTATAATGGCCTTCACAAGGAGGGTCCCACCCAAAAGAGTTACCTTTTTGAGGGTTCATGTATGTGAAAAGGTAGGGATTACACGAGTTGAAGTGTATACAATGGTAGGGAAATCTGACCTTTTGGTCTGTAGAGTGATTTTACTTAACTCTCAAATCAAAATCAAATCAATAAAGCTTTATTAACGGTATCACTTCATTAAAAATGCTCTTCCAGTGAGCCGTTTACAAAACAAAATTTCCAGAGAAACTACATTAATGCTAAAATGTATCTATATATTAAGAAAATCTATCCTATAATTAATCACACAAAAATCAATCGACCTTAAAGGTACATTAAATAACTAAAATAAAATTCTATCTCAACTCCCTCAAGGCAATCCCTGGTTCAAGACAAAGATAGGGCAGACTTGAAAGAGTTGAGATTTATCTCGTCTTTAAGCACATTTTCTAGGCCATTCCACATGACTGCTCCCCTATAGCTAAAGGCCCTCTTAGCAGCTTCAGTACGGGGCCTTGGTACAAAAATGTTGTTTGAGGCACCTTGCACGTTGTAGGAATGAACCCCAGAGGTTGGTTTAAACATGTTCTTTAAACTCTCAGGGTAAAGGTTATTTAGAGATTTAAAAACACTTATTGCGAGCTGTTTAGAGCGTCTTTGCTCAAGGGTATCCCATCTCAAGTCTTGGAGGATATCCGCAGATCTTGTATTATAATCACTAAATGTTATAATTCTCCCAGCCCTATTTTGCAATCTCTGGAGTCGGTCACACAGACCTTTTCCCATACATCCCCAGACTTCGGAGCAATAATCAAAATAAGGAGCGACTAAAGCATCATACATTTTCAGTAGGGTTTGGCGAGGCACCAGGGAACGAATACGTTTTAAGGCCCCTATACCTGCAGATACCTTTTTACAGATGGTATCTACATGGGATTGCCACCCCAATGCCTCGTCAACCTCTATTCCCAGATACCTATAATTAGTCACCCGAGTCAATTGTTGACTATTAACAGTAACGTTTAAGTCACCATTTAAATGCCTTAGTCGGTAGTGGCTTCCAATTATCATATATTTTGTCTTTTTGACATTTAATGTGAGTTTATTGGATTTCAGCCACTTTTGAACCTCATCCAAGTCTTTGTTTAACTTTTCTTCAAGAGTTGCGGGGTCATAGGCGGAAAGGGTAAGCGAGGTGTCATCAGCATACATGAGTGCAGATGATGACAGCTCGCATTCTTGTAGGTCATTTATATAAATGAGAAACAACAAGGGTCCAAGTACAGAACCTTGTGGGACCCCATAACTAACAGGAAGATAGTCTGATAGAGTTCCATTTACATAAGTACTCTGAAAGCGATTTGATAGGTATGATTTGAACCACTGAACTGCATGCGGGTCGAGACCATAAAGTTGCAGTTTTTTTAACAATATGCTGTGGCCAACCGTATCAAAGGCTTTCTTAAGATCCAGAAAAAGTACACTGTTAATTAGGCCATCATCAATATTTAAGTACCAGTTGTTAGTAGCTTCAAGCAAGGCAGTCAAAGTAGAATGCATCGGTCTGAAGCCATGCTGAGAAACTGTCAGCAAATTATTGTGAGTTAGGTACTCATAAAGTTGTTTGAAGATAACCTTTTCGATTATTTTACTGACAACTGGTAGAATAGATATAGGTCTATAGTTATTAGGATCAGACTTAATATCCTCCTTATATAAAGGTAATACTTTGGAAATTTTCCACTCGTCTGGAAAATACCCACACCTAATGGATAGGTTAATTATATGGGTGAGAGAAGGCACGATTTCAGGACAAGCTTCTTTCAAAAGCCTTGCAGAAATACCATCTAGGCCTGTAGCCTTGTCGACTCGAAGCGAACTCACTAAACGGTGAACAACACCGCAGTGAGTCTCGTTCAGGGTAAAACTAGAATTTGATGGCGTAATGTAGTCCTCAAAACAAACACTAGTTTTGGGAATATTATCGGCTAACCTAGGCCCAATGTGAGTAAAGTGATAATTAAGAGCATTAGAGATTTCTAATGGGGTAGTACTTGAGTTATCTCCAACATCTATTCTATTTATTTCAGTTGTTGGTAAATTTCGGCCCAATATTGAGTTTACTCCTTTCCATGATTTCTTAATATCCCCTAGATTTGTTTCGAAATACCTTTTATAGTAGTTAGTTTTTGCTTTCCTGATATTAGCATTTACATTGTTTCGAGCAATCTTATACTCGGTCCAAAGAGCATCTGAATTGTTGATAATTGCAGCCCTTTTCAGTTTGTCCCTCTCAAACATCATCCTTTTTATCTCTGGTGTAAGCCAGGGAGCATAATTATTTCTTACTTTCCTTTTACGTTTTGGTGCATGGAAGTCACAAATTTCTAAAAACAGACGTGACCAAATTTCCCAGGCACGATTTGGATTATCTTCCAGATGAACTAGGTGCCAAGGTGCTAGGTTAAGGTCAGCGTGGAATGAATTAGCATCAAAGTTCCTAAACTGTCGCGACTCCACGATCTTTGGTTTCCCTTTGGGAATACAAAATTTTCTAACTCCATAGATAAGAGAATGGTCACTTATTCCGATGTGACAGACCCCAGAATGCGTAAAAATTTCCTTGTTATTTGTTAGGAATAAATCAATAGTAGTAGCGGATTTTTCAGTGATTCGGGTATGTTCATTTATCAACTGGTGGTATTGGTAAAGGTTACAAATTTCCAGAAGATTCTTTGTATGTGATTCTAGTGGGCAAGCAGCCACATTACAATTTAAATCCCCCAAAATATTTACCTCTAGCCCCAGCGATTCGATTCGCTGAACGAGAAGTTCAAAATCCTTCATGGCGTCTACATTAGAACGTGGTGGTCTATACCACGTACTCACAATAAAAGATTTAGCCTTGGGTTTGATTACCTTAATGCCAATCCACTCGAGGCTTTCGCACTCGAGATCAAATAGGCGTTCATAATTGATAGTATTCCGGATATAAAGGGCAACACCCCCTCCGTCTCTGTTTCTATCATTTCTCTCCAGGGCATAGCCTGGTACTGGGTTCGCCACTAGTATAGTATCATCGAGACGAGTTTCATTAACCGCAAGAATATCAATACATTTCGAATTCATATAAATCCGCAATTCCTCAATATGGCCGGGAATACTAGTAATGTTAAGGGCAGCTAACTTAAAACCCCTATTTTTGGATAATTCACTTAACAGATCAGCAAACTGAACTCTTGAAATAGGTAGTAGAATACTATGCACTATTATTGATTAATAATATTACATTGTTTTCTTTTGTTTACTTGTTGCTATTTTGCACCAGCTGTTAGTATCTGTCACTCAAAAAGGACCTAAAAGGGCTAACAGATGCTTTTTATTTGGGCATCGCCCAAATCGGGTTCGCTTGTTTTGATTCACAGTTGCAATAGGCAATAGGCACGCAATACGTGCGAACGTAAACAAGCCAATCGACGCGAATGTCTGATGCGCGCTGTGTCATAACACAGCATTTGTCTTCGTTACATACGACCCACATATAACGCACGGCAAATAAATCGGCAATAGAAAACAAACTTTGGAAAAAACAAGGTACTCTGAGTGAAACAAACTTAAATAATTTAAATTTTCCCTTTTGAAAATAGTTATCCTCCCAGCACACGGAGTGAATGGTTTGGCTTATTGCCAAGAGTTTGACAACTCAGTTGTCGAGCGCCAAAGAAGATGTCACGCAAAATACCATGATCTTGTGCATGAAATAATTAAGGGTAACATTATTAAATGATGCATAATTCTATTGCATATTTTCGGAAAGGAGGTGATTTCTTATAATCTTATTGAGCAAAGTGTCCTTGAAAACAAGTTGCATTCTTTCGCGGTCGAACTGTAAAAGGGGCAGAGTCTGACATCTTCACGCGCAAACCGCGTTCTATTTTTAAAATCCTTGGGTTAGGGATGGACCATTAGAAAAGTGATAGGAGGGTGCAAGATTAAGGGAAAGCGCGCGAAAAAGTCTGACCGCGACTTCCGATGCTCACTTTGTCGCTCTGCGATCAGTCAAGTCCAGTTTTCGATTTGCGCGCGTCGTCGTCAATGCGGTTACTTTGTCTTAAAATCTACCAATTAGTGCAAGAATGAGTCAATCTTTAGGGACGGACTATTAGAAAACTTATAAGGGGGCGGGCGAAGTACAAAAATAATATTCGTGCAAGGGAAAATTAAATGAAAAAAAATTTTTGCACGCCAATTAATCCTAAAAAATATTCATGCTATGGCCTAAAATAAATTCATACAAGGAATTTGATAAAGAAAAAAATTCCCGCGGCTCGAAAATTCCCCTCCACCCCCATAACTTTTCTAATGGTCCGTCACTTATAAAGGACTTGTCAGAAATTAGCAGGGGGGAGGGGGAGTGGAAACCGAGGGAGGGTCACAACTTTTTGAGACTGCAGAGAAGGCAGGGGTCATGAAAAATGGGCCGTTAAAAGGGGGGGGGGGGGGGG